AGTCACCAATGTGGTCTACAACAGAGGTATAAGGTAGGTCACTGATAGTCATCAATGTGGTCTACAGCAGAGGTATAAGGTAGGTCACTGATAGTCATCAATGTGGTCTACAGCAGAGGTATAAGGTAGGTCTGTTATAGTCACCAATGTGGTCTACAACAGAGGTATAAGGTAGGTCAGTGATAGTCACCAATGTGGTCTACAGCAGAGGTATAAGGTAGGTCAGTGATAGTCACCAATGTGGTCTACAGCAGAGGTATAAGGTAGGTCACTGATAGTCATCAATGTGGTCTACAGCAGAGGTATAAGGTAGGTCACTGATAGTCATCAATGTGGTCTACAGCAGAGGTATAAGGTAGGTCACTGATAGTCATCAATGTGGTCTACAGCAGAGGTATAAGGTAGGTCAGTGATAGTCATCAATGTGGTCTACAGCAGAGGTATAAGGTAGGTCACTGATAGTCATCAATGTGGTCTACAGCAGAGGTATAAGGTAGGTCAGTGATAGTCATCAATGTGGTCTACAGCAGAGGTATAAGGTAGGTCACTGATAGTCATCAATGTGGTCTACAGCAGAGGTATAAGGTAGGTCACTGATAGTCATCAATGTGGTCTACAGCAGAGGTATAAGGTAGGTCACTGATAGTCATCAATGTGGTCTACAACAGAGGTATAAGGTAGGTCTGTTATAGTCACCAGTGTGGTCTACAACAGAGGTATAAGGTAGGTCTGTGATAGTCACCAGTGTGGTCTACAACAGATGTATAAGGTAGGTCACTGATAGCCACCAATGTGGTCTACAACAGAGGTATAAGGTAGGTCAGTGATAGTCACCAGTGTGGTCTACAACAGAGGTATAAGGTAGGTCAGCGATAGTCACCAATGTGGTCTACAACAGAGGTATAAGGTAGGTCAGCGATAGTCACCAATGTGGTCTACAACAGAGGTATAAGGTAGGTCAGTGATAGTCACCAATGTGGTCTACAGCAGAGGTATAAGGTAGGTCAGTGATAGTCACCAATGTGGTCTACAACAGAGGTATAAGGTAGGTCAGTGATAGTCACCAATGTGGTCTACAACAGAGGTATAAGGTAGGTCTGTGATAGTCACCAATGTGGTTTACAACAGAGGTATAAGGTAGGTTACTGATAGTCACAGGTCCAAGGCTATTGCACACATTTATATATTGTACAGTACATGTATTGCAATTGTAAAGAGATGAATAATACTGAAGAAATGGAATTGAGACGAAGTTTTAAAAACTAAAGAAAATGTCTTTTCCATCTCTTATGAATCTTCAGTAATGATTATTGAATCTTTGTATAAATCGCAAGAACTGCATTATAGAATAATATATTATCACTTTATCAGTTATTCTTTAGGAGCATGATTAATATAAACTTGGGTAATTCCAAAGGCTTTGTATTTTATAGATAATAGTTTTTATGCTTGTAAAATCATTTCACATTCATAATAGGAATGAATCATACTTAAGAAAAACATAGCATTTATATATTATATTAGAACTCTATCTATTGATCTGCAGCTCTCACATTTGTTCTTGATGATACTGTAAAAGCTCAAATTTTCAAGGTGCCGTAATTTTCGCTATTTCCGCTGAAGAGGCTAGACCGTGAAATTGAAGGCACGGTGAATATTTTATTTAACATTGAATTCATTTGGATATTTCTTCAAGCTGTGAAATCTAATGCCCACGAAACTTTTCAGATTGACAAAATAGTGAAATTTTTCGTCAGGGAAAATTTCGGATTTTGCAGTATTAACCACATGCAATTTTCTTGATAAATATCTATATTTAAATGCTTTGGTTAGGGGATTAGAAATGTATTTTTGAGGTTTTGTTAATTTTCATTTTCTGTCATTAGTATTACTATTGTTTTTTGGAAAATACATGAATTATTAGTTTTTTTGCTGGCTTCAACAATAAAATTGGAAACTGTTGTTTTTTGTGTAGATTTAATGTCTATCTATATCTCATCACAACTATTACTTGCTGAGGCTCAGAGTCTTGAAGTAGAATGAATTTATGTTTTGAAAAGGGTGAGAATGTGTTAAAAACATAGAAGATCACCTTGGATTGGAGACATTCTATTTCAGGTATGATTCTAAATCAGGAAGGTGTTTGGAGGATGTGGTTGACCACAGAAACTATAAATTGTCATGAATGAAAATTCACAAACTCAGGCAAAATTACATAAAACAATAGGCAAATCCTAATAATAGGCAGAAATACAAAATAATGGTCCAAAAGGAAGGCTCATACACTGTATAATAGACCTCAAAAAGAAAAGTTCAATATACTGTATGGGTGATAAAGATTATTAATAAAAATGCATGTTGGCTGTAAATAGTCTTATTCACCTCAATTATATAGAAAGATATTAACATTTACAATGAAACCTGTCTAATCTGAACATTACTTGGACCAGCCAAAAGTTGTCAGATTAACAGGTACACATTTCAATTTTTTACATGTTAATCTATGTATATGGCAGCTTAAAAAAACAGGACTGATTTAAGGCAATTCGTATTGAAACTGCCTCAGATTTACTTCCTGCGAAAGCTATTTGGATTTTGATATAATAGCTTTCCCACGGAGCATTTGGACAGCTCAATGATCGTGACCTTTGAAATCGAATTAAGTCGATCCGCGGCTTACTTTTGGTCTCTAACTGTGTCTTACATCAGTATCATCAATCCGTGTAAGTATTGGAGCGCTGGAGTACTTCTTTTTCGATCAAGACTTGTAATTGTTAGTCGAGTGAATCGTTTTACTGCCAAATTCCAATATGGCGGTTTCTGCTCGGACATTTCCGTAAATCTCCGGAGGTTGTCCGAACCTAACTAATTCTCAGAATTCATTTCGTTCGTTGGGTATCTCGCACCTAGCAAACCGCCATATTGGAAATAGGTCTATAAAACTTTAACTCGATGAACAATTTACAAGTCTTGATTGAAAAAGAAGCACTCCAGCGCTCCAATACTTACACGGATTGATGATACTGATGTAAGACACAGTTAGAGACCAAAAGTAAGCCGCGGATCGACTTAATTCGATTTCAAAGGTCACTATTGATCAGCTGTTCACTTCTCCTTTGAGAGCCATAAGTTTCAAAATCTAACATGGCTCTCGAAGTGAGTAACCTCAGATGAGACGGGTATTTCGATATATAGGTTTTACTGGATTAGTATCATATCCGCAAAATGTGTTAATTATGGACATCAGTGATTGGTGAAATATCATATCAGAATCCTGTCTAGGCTTTCGTCAACAAACTAGTTTATGCTTCATTTCTTGGATATTATATATTCCTCTATTGGATGATTGGTTTGCCAGGATTATTAATCCATTATGGTTTCATTAATCATTCAGCTATTTCTTACTCATATCATCTCTTAAAGGCTGTTCTTGAACTTATCTTGCATTACCCTGTCTTAAAGGCTGTTCTTGAACTTATCTCACATTACCCTGTCTTAAAGGCTGTTCTTGAACTTATCTTGCATTACCTTGTCTTAAAGGCTGTTCTTGAACTTATCTTGCATTACCTTGTCTTAAGGGCTGTTCTTGATCTTATCTCACATTACCCTGTCTTAAAGGCTGTTCTTGAACTTATCTTGCATTACCCTGTCTTAAAGGCTGTTCTTGAACTTATCTTGCATTACCTTGTCTTAAAGGCTGTTCTTGAATTTATCTTGCATTACCTTGTCTTAAAGGCTGTTCTTGAACTTATCTTGCATTACCCTGTCTTAAAGGCTGTTCTTGAACTTATCTTGCATTACCTTGTCTTAAGGGCTGTTCTTGAACTTATCTCACATTACCCTGTCTTAAAGGCTGTTCTTGAACTTATCTTGCATTACCTTGTCTTAAAGGCTGTTCTTGAATTTATCTTGCATTACCTTGTCTTAAAGGCTGTTCTTGAACTTATCTTGCATTACCCTGTCTTAAAGGCTGTTCTTGAACTTATCTTGCATTACCTTGTCTTAAGGGCTGTTCTTGAACTTATCTCACATTACCCTGTCTTAAAGGCTGTTCTTGAACTTATCTCACATAACTATTTCTTAAAGGCTGTTCTTGAAATTATCTTACATTACCCTGTCTTAAAGGCTGTTCTTGATCTTATCTTACATTACTTATGTATCATAGTTTGACAATAAAGTATGTAACTAACTAAAAAAACTCTAATCAATAGAAGTTATGGTTAGTGCACTTAATCATAAAATGGGATTTTATTTTGATTATAAATTGTATAACGCTATTTTTTCATAAACTGAGATATATTTTTTTAGTCAACATGAAATTTTTATAGGTGGATGTATTATCTTTATAACTGTAGATTATTAGCAGACATTATATGAGTATATCCCAGATGCATAATATCATCAATTATATAGAGAGATATTGTATTTTGATTATTGCGTGTAGTTATTCTGTGTTTTCATCAACCAGTTTAACGGATCAGTGATCACTGTACATGATTAGGACAACTTTTCTAAATTCTAACATGCAATCTTGAACTTAGAGGTAATTTTCAATATCCCATTTGATAGAGTGATACTCCAAGGAGTTAAGTATGTGTTCGTAATTATTCGTACATTATTCATGTACAGCCAGTGAGGAAATTAAGGGACGATATAGAGAATATATTGAAAATGCATCGTTTTTTTTATTTAGATTATCATTACACTGTTTGTTTACAACTCTATTATTGGAACTATACCTAGAAGTAATAGACTAGATGCGAGTTGAAATCATCTTGATTTACGTCATTAAAAATAGAAATGTGACTTCTGAAGTAGCCACATGGTGGCGAAACTGGTAACTACCTACTCGCATCTTGAGTTATTGCAATTGTTTATCTGCAGAAAAATCAAAGTGTACATTGTAATTTTGATTATATCACTACATTGATGACTTTGGTTTATAACTCTCTATTTTTTGAATCATGATTTAATTTCAATCTGTGTTTGTTTATTTGCAGCAATCACGGCCAGTGTACACACAGAAGAGGAGTACCATGTCACCTACAGCCACACCAGCAACCCCTGGCTCCACCTATCCACCAAACCAGCAGGCAACAGCTTGGCCGCCATCTTTCTATCGTAACCAAGGCAACCGCTATGCGAGTCCACACCCTGCTGCCTATGGAAGCTACACTCCTAATGTAAGTAGGATCTTTTATATAATCATAAGGCATCACTAGATTATACACATAATAGGGAGATAGGGAAGGACTTCTTATCTTAGTTCAGTAGCCCCCACCCTATAATACACTCTTAATAGGATCTTTATGCATCTTTAGGTCATACTAGATTCTACACATAATGGGGTTGGGGGCATCTATCTCAATAGCCCCCACGCCCATAAATACTTCAGTTTCGTTTAGTGAGAGGTTGGTAAGAGACGGCACCCTAGTCACAGGAGGGTGAATAGGAAATATAAATGATATTTTGTTTGAGTATGTCACATTTGGTTTATACAGGGTACTTTTGGCATCTTTTTTATTTGCATTGGTTTTGAATAAGGTTATAGAATTTATATTTTCATTTGTTTATTATTGAAAGGTTATGAGGGTTTAATATATGACATGGGTGAGTTTGCTCTGATACATGTAATCTATAAAATGTATAAATATAATAAAAAAAACTAATTTGATAAGTTAATGAAAACTTGGGATGTCATTCAAAATTAGTTAAAATATGTTTGAATTTAGATTTAATTTAATTCTATGTTATGTTATGGTTGATGGATGGTTATTTTATTCATATCCATTTATACACCAAGCAACATCTGGCTATGTGTTTTAACTCATTCAAAATTTAATCGATAAACTTCAATTCTTTCAGTTCAGTCTGATCTACAAGTTCATAAAACTTTGTTCACATTGTAAAGAGGGCGCTACAGGCATTGACTAGAGGCAATAACATGAATGCTTTATTTACAGTGTAAAGTACAAGCCTTGTGTTTGATTTACACTTGTACTGTGATTTCCTTATCTTCATGTGTCCAAAATCTAGTTCAGTCCCAGGTCTGGTTGTTTGGTTAATGGTTATATACTCCAGAAGTTGAAAATGCCTAAATTGTGAATTTTTTATGCAAACTTCCATGAATGAACCTACTACAGTAAAACCTATCTATCTGAACACCTCTCTAATCTGAACAATCTGAACACCTCTCAATTTGAAAATACATGAATTGTGAATTTTTTATGCTAAAACATCCATGAACCTACTACAGTAAAACCTATATCTGAACACCTCTCTAATCTGAACACCTCACAGTCTGAATGCTTTTCGGTCCTATTTTTGATCTGCCATTTAAAAAAACTTAAAATGTGAACACCTTTCAGTCTGAAAACTTTTGCTGGTCCAAGTAGCATTTAGATTATACAGGTTTTACTTTATTGATGCTAATAAGGTGAAGTATGTGTAAATGAGGGAAATGTGCTGATAAGGGGAACACATATCCTTGATATAAGTTACAAGCTAATAAACCTAATTTACACAAGTCATATACTATATATTATTGTGTATACAGGTATCAAAAATATATGAAGCATTGATCTTGCAGCTTTCCAGCAATTGGGTGTCGCACCTGTTGGAAATTTAAGAATTTTTTGCCATCCTGTTGAAAATCTGTTAGCGTCCTGTCAAAATATGAAAAATTGAGATATTTGGACCAAAACAGGTAAAATTAAGATTGAGTGCCCCATTGAGAAAAAAACCTTGGGCATGAGAAGGCCTGATTTAAAAATCATGGAAAATATTCAAAATATCAAAACAGTGAACAAAACTTTGCCAAAATGTGACCGATTAAAAATTGTTTCAATGAAACTCTCTTTTAGTGATACCAAGTCAAATTCTCACGAAGTTCATCCAATGATAAATGTGATGAACCAAAACAACCTTGTGGATGCAAAGTAGGTGAAAGTTTTTTCTATTTGATTTGAAACATAAAGTGAACTATATTTCATTCTAAGTGATGGCTGAATGAAACCAGATCCATTGCAAGCCGAGAGAACTTGAAAGTAAGAATCAGTTGACCTTATTTCAGAGTTCAGAACGGCAGCCTAAGATGATATCTGATTTAAACAAAAAACAAAGCCAAAACTTAGATCTTAACCCCTCTGTATTTTAACCTTGAGTCAGAACTGATATCCTTTACTGTTCTCTCCTACATTTTCAAAATGCAGGATTTTCATTTGTCCAATAAATACCCCAAAAATACCCATAGTTGATTTAAATATCTTCTGATTGGTCAAATAATCAATTAGATGCATACTGAGTTTCAACTGGGTTCATAGGTATTTTTAAATTCTCAATGGGGTGCATCACCCAGTTGATTGAATGTAAGGGGGATAACAACTGGATATGGGTGTGGGGTATAGGTGAACTCACTTGATACACAGTTAATTCTTTTTTGCTCCTAGTGAGACTTCCACAGGTATCAGTTACCCTTATAAAGCAAGAGATTGATCAGGGATTTGACCTGCAAAACAGTTAAATGTTTTCTAAAAAGACATGTCTTATCGCATGCACTGTGCTGTTTCATATTTTCTGTAGTGACGAGGAAAATGGTTACGAAAGTTTATCAGATTAAAATTCTAGACCTCAGAAAGTTTATGCCAGAGATGGTTTTTATTTTGCATGCAAAAATACTATTTTGCATGAACATTTCATATTTTCTACACTGATAAGTAAAAAAGTTATATAAAATTTTTGATCTTAGATTTGTGATGAAATAAGGCTTCGGAAAGTTTATACTCCAGATGGCCTGTATATTTTTTTTTTTTTTTTTTTTTGTAAGCAAAAGTACATATGTTCACCGCATAAATGTTTCACAATTTTCCATACTGAAATAGATATAAAACTTTTGAATTTTGGATTAATTTTTTTAAGCTTCAGAAAGTTTACATTAGAGATTTCGTCTAAATTGTTAGGATGCCAAATATGGTGATACGGCATAGGCTTAGTGGTTTAGTCGAAATCAAGTTTATATCAAGACAAATTTATTTTATAGTTCATTAAATGATTTGATTATCTTGGCACATTGCTTGTTTATTTATAGATATACATATGCATTGATTTTTTTCCAAAAACCGATCGTATTGTTTAGGCTACGTATTTTGTGCAAGGGGGCGTATAACACAAACTTTTTGTGCAAGTCCCATCATCTCCAAATATGGTCCCAATCTGTTCTGCTGCTCAAAAAACCTGGTCAAAAATGTATGTCTGTCTACACCCAACATGTAGTGTATATTTTAATGTTTAACTAATCAAATAGGTTTACAAGTGTGGTTTATATTTTTATGACTTATGAGGTGTCCTAAAACATGGCTGACATTCCTGAGTGTTATGGTTTACAACTACATGTACATGTTCACTTGCTGAATTGACATTTAACCTACTTGCTTGCTTGCTATGCACTTCGAACTGGAGACAGCAACTGTATTATAAAATCCAGGCTTTTTTGGAACAACTTAAAAAAATTATAGTCGATATCATTCAGAAACATTTCTCAGCAACTATTTTGCGAGTTTCTCAGAGTTTGTGAAAACGTAGGAATATTTTGATACAAAGGAAGTGCAGGATAACAAGGAATTGTGTTGGTTCTTGGAAATGCTCCAACTTTAGAAGTTTCTACGCCATAGTTATGTACCAGCCTAGAGCTTATATGTATCAGGTCAGTGGTGTTTTCATTATTAATGGGTTTGACGGAGGATTGAGGTCTATTGTCAACCCCTGGGTCTGTTTTTATAGGAGAGTTGGAGGAGTGAGGTCTATTGTTAGTCTCTGGGTAAGTTTTCAAAAGAAGGAGGGTTGAGGTCTATTGTCAACCCCTGGGTCTTTTTTATAGGGGAGTTGGAGGGGTGAGGTCTATTGTCAACCCCTGGGTCTGTTTTATAGGGAAGTTGGAGGGGTGAGGTCTATTGTTAATCTCTGGGTTTTTTTACAGGGGAGTTGGAGGAGTGAGATCTATTGTCAACCCCTGGGTCTGTTTTATAGGGGAGTTGGAGGGGTGAGGTCTATTGTCAACCCCTGGGTCTGTTTTATAGGGGAGTTGGAGGAGTGAGATCTATTGTCAACCCCTGGGTCTGTTTTATAGGGGAGTTGGAGGAGTGAGATCTATTGTCAACCCCTGGGTCTGTTTTATAGGGGAGTTGGAGGGGTGAGGTCTATTGTCAACCCCTGGGTCTGTTTTATAGGGGAGTTGGAGGGGTGAGGTCTATTGTCAACCCCTGGGTCTGTTTTATAGGGGAGTTGGAGGGGTGAGGTCTATTGTCAACACTTGAGTCATATTTTGAGAAAGAAGGTGGGGTTAGGTCTATTGTCAACTACTGAGTGAACTTTTCAAAGAAGAGGGGGGTAAGGTCTATTGTCAACCCCTTGGTCAGTTTTCTAAGGAAAAGGGGTAGATTTATTGTCAACCCTGGGCTAGTTTTGCAAGGAAAGGGGAGATGTCTATAGTCTACCCCTGGGTCAGTTTTCAAAAGAAGAACAAGGCGTGAGGTCTATTGTCAATTTCTCTGTCAATTTCCTGAAGAAGGGTGACTTTGAAGGGGCCACATCTACATTGACCATCCCTGTGTGGAGGAGGGGACAAGGTACAGAGTCAGCTCTTGGGCCAGTTTTCTGAGGGTGTATAACCAGTAATCAAGTCTGAGATATACAGATATATAGTACTGCATCAAGGCCCTATGTTGCCCCTCCTGTTCTATCTCTAGCAGTGCCCGGGCAAGGGGCAGATAGGGTGGGGTTAAGTTGAGAAGAGATTTGATGCATGATCCATATTTAGGGGCATCTTAACCCAGACTATATTGCCATGACGACACACCATATTTTTTCAATCTGGTTGACTTAACTTAATAATTATATAACAAGCTGCTAAACATCATGATAATCTATTCCATCTTGTTTCTTTGAACTGTGTTGCTGTGAAGCAAAGATGTGAGGACGGTTGCTTTATCTTACTATTATATGGATAGATTGAATAAGACTTTTTCCTAGTGTTTCATTGTTCACAAAAGTGTTTTCGATAAATAGAGGGATTTTGTTAGGAAGATGATTTTTTATCAAAATTATTTTTGTTTTTGGCAATGACTTAGACAAATGTCCATATCGTGAGAGATTGGTCAGTTATTCAATATTTCAATTTTCAGTTTTTTGTTTTCAGATTTTTGCCTTTATTCTTTATCTTTTCAAAAATGCTATTGTTTAGTTACCATAGTAACCATACAGCTCAAAATCTAACACAAATAGAAAAAGTCTGATAAAACCCATAGAACTGGAAGCTGAGTGGTATGGATAGGATGAAAATGATATGTTCCAAAAATAACATTTGTTTAATGAGTAAACTAATTTGGTTAATTGGTATTTGAGATAAAATGTATAAACCCAGCCATATATCAAATCATGTATCTTAAACTTGTCTGGGGTATCAGGCAAATGAAAAGGTACTGTATTGTTAAAGAGTCATTCATTTCAATGTGTTTATCTCGTTTATACGATTTTTCAGGGCAGGGGAGAATTACAGATTGATATATTTGGTGTTTATTCATCACCTTTCTCGTATATGTTTTGACAGAATGATGATCTTTGTGTTTGAAACTAAAGTTCTACTTGGCCCAGCCAAAAGTGTTCAAGAAGCAGGTGTTCACATTTCCCATTTCTTTAACATTGAAGTCAATGGGAGATAAATCAATAAGGATAGAAAGTGTTCATATTGAGAGGTGTTCAGATATACAGGTTTTACTATTCGATTTATTTGTTGCAATTTTGTTAACTCCCATTGATTCACATGTTAAAAAACTTAAAATATGACTACCTGCTAATATGAGCATTTTGACCAGTTCCTATAACATTTTAGATGAGACATGTTTTACTGTACAAGGTATTTAGGATAACATCCCTGTCTTCTTTCTCCCTTGTAGCCACAGACTTTTATCCCCATATCAAATTTTATTCATGTAAAATATTTCTTATCATGATTTACAGGCACATAAATCACAAAACTAGCTTGTTGAAAGTTTGTTTTATTTTAAATGTCTTAGTGTATAAAGTATCCTTGACATGCAAGCAGTAAGAGGATAAAGTTCATTTTAAATACATTTTTCATGTTTCAGTAAATTTTGGGTTTCTGAGTCTGGCTTATTTCCTCTGTGAACTGTTATTCTTTGTTGTAAGTTGATAGTCCTGTATACAAGCGGAAAACCATTAATATTATGATAAAGGCTAAAAATCAAAAAAGTGATGCTTAGTAAAACTTTTGCCAAGAAGGAGCTTTTTGACAGTTTTTTGCTCAGAATGATGAAAAACTGTTATGATTTTGAAAGAATTTCTGGCCAGGGGGAACTTCTACTCCTCCACACCAGCCCCCCCCCCGCCCCCTCCTGGCTACTGGCTACTGGCCTGATACCCAAGTATTGCACTGAAGTATGTACTTATTACTTATAATTAGTTCATAGCCAGTGTGAAATAATAAGCCAGAATTTGAGCAACAAAATTGATTATTATCACACACAAAACAATTATAATTGACCAGTGATGATATTTAATAGTCAATTAGTAGATTCAGGAGTTCAAAGTAACCAGCTGTGTGTCCTTAGCAGTGAAAAGGTTAAACTCCTGTTACATCTTTGGGGCTTTGTATTCATTATTCATATTACAGGGCTGTGTGTCAATGTGTCATTACATTCCATTTTGGCTTCATGTCAATATTTTATTATTACACTTTTTGCACCCCTGTTTTTTATATTATGATTTATTGAAGGGTCAAAACTATAAAATCGAGGATGAGACTTGGTCTCATTTCTACTGGGTGAATCTTACTTTTACAGGGTGAATCTCATTTTTACAGGGTGAATCTTACTTTTACATGGTGAATCTCATTTTTTACAGGGTGAATCTTACTTTTACAGAGTGAATCTCATTTTTAAGGGGTGAATCTTATTTTTTCAGAGTGAATTTCATTTTTACAGGGTGAATCTTTGTAAATGGTCATCTTTGCTATAAAATGGTTATGTTGGGTTCAACATTCTTATTCGTTTTCATTAGAGCTGGCATCGAATGTCGGAATGGTCGATTGTCAGTCGAATGCTCTCTGCGACACCCATGTCGACACAACGCCTCTTGATCGACAATCGGAACTCACAACATAATAAGCTATTTCCCTATGAATTAAAATATTTGTTACTACCTGCTGTATGGTGTATTCTAGTGAAGTTTTACCGCCTACATTTTCAAATTTTCTTTTTTGTTTTGACCGACTTCCTGCTCTCGAATTAGGTCTCGGGGCCTCTCGAGATTTACCCTCGAGATTTACTTTCAATGGCTGCCCGGAAATAACAACAGAAATCGTAGTTTTACGTCTATTTATTGCTTTTTCGTCAAAGTCTGATACTTGAACATGGTTTACCTGTAAGTTAAATATAAAACATACAACTGAGGATGACTATTGTGCATCGTATTGCTAATTACAAGCCTAGAAAATCTAAAATTCAGACAGTTTTTCTTCAAATTTTTTTTCATTTTTCGAATATCATTGGACCCGACAATGTCGATATCGTCGTCGATCGTGAGCTCCGACATGTCGACATTAAAATCCTATTCAATGCCAGCTCTAGTTTTCATAGTAAAGTTTCCTATTAGAAGACATAAGAAAAAGATAAGCTCTTGAACATTTTATCAATCAAGTTTTTGTTGCCAGTATGTTGAATTTGACTAAAAAATAGTTAAACTAACAAGTGAAAAAAATAGTTAAACTAACAAGTGAATTCTCACTTCTATATTTTGGACCCCTGGAGGGCTAAAATACTGTAAACTGTTACCTTCTTGGCTAAATAAAATGATTATTATTATTATATCTTTTATTGACTCTTTAGATGTCATATCATGACATATTAGTCACTAAGGTAGAGCAGTTCTTTCCATTGTCGAGTTGAAGAACTGGTATCTTTATCCTGGCTAGAACCATAGACAATTCTAGCCAGCGCCAGCCTTTTATCGAGTTAGCTATTAAAAAAACGTTATTTCAATTTGTTATTTTTCAATGTGGTTATGAGAGTTTTGAAAAAATAAGTGTAAATCGCCTTGTGTCCCCCGCCCCCATCCTCCCCTAAAACATGGCATTCTTTATGAGATGAGTGATGAGTGTTAAAAAATATTTCTATAATAAGCTTGATGCCCAGTTGGGTTGTATCATATCTGTAGGTCATAGGTTGATTGAGGTACACTTAACAGTGAATCCACATATCATATGGCAATGTTAGGCCAATTAGATCTATTGCAATCACAAAATATTGCCTACAGTAAAACCCATCTTATTGAATGCCATTGGAACCAGCCAAAATTGTTCAAAATTCCAGTTATTCACATCTCGAGGTTTCATTAATTAGTGAATTAATGGGAGATTTCAAAATTAGGACTGAAGAGGGGTGATCATATTGAGAGGTGTTTACAATACAGATGTGTTTACATTACAGATGTATTCAGATCTAAATGTTTTACTGTATGTTAAAACAATAATTATCCGCTATATGACTTTTTCGAAACATCCGTCCAATAACCGACCTTTCCACACCTTTTACTAAGGCCACATAGTTTTTTACCACTACATTAAGGTGTGTTCATACTAGGATACTTAAATACCTGCAGTATATATTAGGATCTTTGGTAAGTCACATTTTTAAAACATGAATTATTCAAAATCTTGTATTGTGGTGTAATGATCATATGGTATTGAGAATTGATTTTAATTGTTAAATTTTTGAGTTTCAGGTTTTTTTAAAACTACATGTATTATCTTTCTGGTGATAAATGAAGAGGGAGCACAAATGGCAAAATTAGAAAATACAGAATAACTTAAACCCCCCAAAACCATATGTGAGAAATTGTCTAAACTGTATATGAGCTAGATCATGTAAGATTTTTGGACTTATAGAATGTGTTTATAATTTCATGAAATTCATATTGGAAACCCAACATTACCCATATCTTTAGAGACACTGATTTGAAATAAGATAATGTATTTGAACCTCTTATATCCTACATGGCACAGCGAGAAAAATGAAAAAATCTACTACAATAATATTATGTTAAGGCATTGTGTTAAGTCCTAAGAGGTGAAATGTATGTCTCCGAAAAAAAATGTTTCGTTACTGCTTCATTGGTTGTTTGACCTCATCCACATCACAGGTATTTAGTATAAGTTTAACCAATACCTGTTTTCTGTCACCCTCCAAACTTTCCGAAGTGGAAAACAGAAAATCCTTATGAAGTAATTCATCCTTAAAGCAAAGCACAATAGTTCAAGGGAATACAGCCCTGTAGACAGTTTACTCTACATTTATCTGGCCTGTATCAAGATTGACAAATTGCTGATTGATTGATTCAGTTGAGCAAGACACAATAGTTCAAGGGAATACAGCCCTGAAAATCTAGGTAAATTATGTGTACAGACTGTTTACTAAACATATATCTGGTCTACATCTAGATTGACATGTACAAGTTGATTGATTGAATCCATTGATTCTACCCTTTATCCCTTCCAGATAATCACACTCTACTCTGACTATAACAGTGAAATTGATGCAATCAGATCTTAACATAATCTCAAATGTAGCCTTTTATAAGAGTTTGAATATGTAATGAATATCAGCTGCTTTAATAGGCAGATATGTACTGTTATGAATCTAAGAACATTTTCAATTTTGAGAGTTCAAACAGAGTGGAAATCTGGGAAGGGTAGCAACTAGTTGATGGATTGATTCCATTGAGCCATATTACAGGACTATATGCAATAAGTCTTAATTAAGAAGGTGTTAGATATCAGACTTAGATTTATCTCTCATATAGGCAGGGTATCTGTCTCTGGTCAAGCTACTGGAATAGATAAATATCAGATTTATATGGGAACAGGAGGGCAGGGTGCGGTGTACATGCATACTGTTTGTAAAAAAATCTTGACAATTTTGTGGAATGATTCAAATGTGTTTGGAATCAAGTTTTTTTGTCTGTCTTTTAACCCCCCCCCCTCCCCCTTTCCTTTCTTACACAGGTGGTCCTTGATGTAAGACTACCAAGTTCAAAACATATTTTGAAATCAACAGAACCTTACCAGTTATTAGGCTCATCCTTCTTCAAAGGACTTCATTTATGTTTGTAAAATACCCTTGCAGCAAGGATGAATCGACTGGAAAGGAAGCGATTTTGGGTAGACACATAAAAGGCTTGGTTTGATATGTCCTCAGTCTAATAAAGCGTTAGTTATAAGGTTAGGTTAAAAGTTCACAATGCTTCATTGTTTTATTTAGGGCAATAAGGTACATCTTTATGGCTTCATATCATTAGGCCATTGTTAGAATTGCAAATGTTATTATCATTTTATTACCTCAGTGAATGGGTCATATCCAGAATTTAATTTACAAGTCTTTATGGTTTTATCAGATTTTATGTTGCATTTGTAATATTTTTTTGAGGTTGTATATAGTTTTTGGTTTGTTTAATTAATTATAGATGTCAGTGTTGGGAGATTATTTATTAATTTGAGAAAAGAAATCCAAGGTCAGATGGACTTTGAGGATGGTTGATATAATTTGAATTATGGAAAAGGTATGCAAAATATAGGTCGAAATTCACGCTGAATGACATATGCTTTACAATTCACTAACCAAGCCAGTTATGTTAAATAATCTTATGCACAATTTACAATTATATTGAATGTGCTCCAAAAACCATAAGCCAAGTCTAAACAAACTCGCATTCAGTCTGGATTGGATACAGGAGGTTTATTATAAGTCTTATATTGTAGCGCCATAATGTTTAAAGATAGCAAGATTTACATAATCACCCATAAGTAGATTTGTAAACTTCAGGTTTAACAGTTAAAGTAAGACCCCTGATATTTGCAAATCGAAAATATTTGTAAACATTCCATATTTGAGATATCTACATTCTAGAATGATTGAATGTATTGTGTTGAAACATATTGAATGCTTTATTTATTAATTAATTCTAAATATAATATTCTAGACACGCTTTACGATCAATGATCATCGCATATATGTCCTGGCTATTCCCCTTGATTTGTTTACCATCGATATAAGTATTTAAACAATAAATCTCTTTATTACACATCTTTTAATATGAGATCAGAAGAACATTTCCTCATATGTGTTCCCATGACTTGTCTACTATCAAGAGTCTTAATCCCGTGTATAATCAATGTTATAAGCTCCTTCCTTGTGTACTATTGGCTGAATAACTGTAGATTGTTTGCTCTGCTTATAAGGGGTCTCAATTGCCCTCAAAGTTTGAGATAACGTAGATGGCCAAGTGACTGCAGTTTTACTTTGAGCATAATGTCTATGGGAGTCTTTGAAAAACCAAAAAGTCAGGATATACAATACAACGGCCACGTCACCTCTAATCACATATATACTCGGGTGAGTCTCGTTAGCTATATTTATCACAGGGGGGTGTTGTTTTACAGGAAGAGCTTTGGGAACCCATATATTGTCTATATATACTACAGATGTTCCTACTTATGTCCTATGCTGAACCATGCATGTATAATAAACTATACTCTGATTTAGTATGCTACCAATGTCTAGATAGGTTAACCCTTTGATCTCTAGTGAATCCTACATCCATGCACTTTTAGGGATTGGTGAATTGAAAATTTTGAAATTATACTACAGGAGGCTTGGTCCAACTTTGCATTTAACAAGACAGTTTGACAGCTTTGTAGTTTTGCATTGTGCTATGTCTTAGCCTTTTAAACTGTAATTTGAGATGGGAGAAATGTTATCCTGTAGAGGGTTAGTGGTATTATGTTTCAGAAACTTTGTCTCATGTTACTGACTCTGGATGAGACCATTGTATAATAGAATCTTAGGATATTATGGATATTTAACCCTATCCAGATCTCAAAAAGTCAAATTAGGTACCATTATTGTTCAAATTTCAAAAGACCTTATAAGGGTTGTCACTGTACCCTTCAGAAATGACTTGAGTACCACATCAATGGGGCTCCGAATTGAAAACTTTAAGAGAACAATATATGCATTAGGCCAAGTGAACATCATGTCATATCAGAGATTCTGACATTTTCAGAAAGTCTCATCTCAATGTAATAAAGTATAATCCAGTCTAACATCTGTATCCAGTACTCTGGATGATAATCTCCAATATAGAATATTGACTACCATATAGATGCATAGATTATCACAGAGGTTATATAGCTCTAGTTAAAAGGCTAAATCTAATTGGAATTGTATTGAATTGATGAATTAATATGCCAATATCACAGAGCAAACTAGTTGAACAGATGCCATGTTTAGTTGGATCAAAGGACCAGCTGGTAGGAACAATTATTACTGGAGAACCCTAGAGACAAAAGTCCTTATGAACTCTGATTTTCATATCCCAAATTTTCGACATTAAGCTTTAAGCTTCATCTCAATATTTAGCATTTTCTATACAATTAAGAGTGCAGAGATTAACAACGTTATGTGTGTTCCCGGCAAATTTCTATTATTTACACAGTATTTTGCGTCTGTATTAGCTGTGGTGGTTATAGCATGTACTCTAGTGAAACCGGGATTAAGAGATGCAGATTTAGGCTGTACATTAGCTAATCTCTTTGTGACATTTGGAGTATCCTCTGGTCATGCCAAACATACTTATTTCATGCATGTCAAAAAAATTGAATAACTAAGTCAAATTTGCGGGAAAGATACCTTGAATGTTTCCTGGCCTTTAAGCTTTGATAACAATCCATATTTATGTTTTCTCAATGGCTATTCTGGTCTGGATTTGGGGTCCTTTGTGGAAGGGCTTTAGATTTTGGAAGACGTTTTAAATTTTACAATAATTGGTTGCTAGTTTGGGAGGGGCAGCCAGGCTTCATGCCAAAACTTGAAATATTTCGAATAATTGCATTTGTGAATTATTATATGTTCTTTTGATTTGATTTTTGAATTATTTTTTGTATTACAGCGAAAATTTCATTAACATGTAAACCATCGATCTAAATCTTTTGATATTCTCAATCTATTTACCTATGATAAATACGAATTTCAATTGCCATTCAAAGTGGCATGTATGCTTACACTTTAATCAAAACGTGTTGGGTATTTTAATGAAATTATTTTGGGAACCTAGGAATTTGTCAAACAGTTGAGAATGAGGGGATTATTTAAGTATTCATCACTCTGTATTCATGATAACAAAAATGTATTATTTCTTGAGCATGCTCGGCGCTAACAGTTTTGATCTACGATGTACGACCCTGCAATAATCCATGTCCTGGGGACGCTATTTATGATGTGTATTATCAAAGAAGGAATCTGAAACCTCCTGTTCATTAACTATTTATTGAATTTATCTTTTCCTTATCCCTGCATTTTCAACTTGAATAAGGTGTTAAATTAAGGATATGAATTATATCTACCCTCTTATATGAATTATATCTACCCTCTAATATGAATTATATCTACCCTCTTATATGAATTATATCTACCCTCTTATATGAATTATATCTACCCTCTATTATGTTCCACAGCATGAATATTTTACTAATCTTTTCAATATATTTTGCGTGTAAGATGATGCTCTGATCGAGGGTAATAGGGTGAAGAGTGCCATATTAAAACTCATCAATATTGGTTCATTTATAGGATGCTTAAGGACACATTTTATTAATGAAATCTTGTATGATTGTCTCTTTGCTTTCTCCTTGACTATTTCCTAATATTAGAAAATAACAAAGATTATCAAACCGTGGTTCTTTTTTTGTCGATTATTTGTCTTTTTGTACACAGGCTTGGCAGGATGTTGATAAAATTATTTTTGATGATATCATGTGAACTTCTTCATAAATGTAGCTTTTGATTTAATATTACTTTCGTTATACTTGTAAATTCAAAATCAAGCCGAAGCGTGAAACATGTACAAGGAAGTTTTGAAAACTTGTCATCCTTGCTAAAAAGTTTATCAAATTTATTTGAGAAAACAGGGACTTTCAAACACATTTAATAGAGAAGTTTTGTAAAATAAGCTGAACTAAGAAAACATGTCCGTGATGGCATGTACGTGCATATTTGTGGTTTTTAAGGTCTGATAACAACAAATAGGTGCAGGCACTTGAATGGGATCAGAGATCATATGACAGTTTCGTTTTTGTATATGTATGAAACAATTAAATGTAGTATGTTTATTTAGCAAAGATCCTGTAGCAAATATACTGTAGGTGTATTTTAATTTACAGAATATACTGTAGATGTACAGTAAAACCTGTATAATTCAAACATACAGTAAAACCTGTATAATCCAAACATACAGTAAAACCTGTATAATCAAAACATACAGTAAAACCTGTATAATCCAAACATACAGTAAAACCTGTATAATCAAAACATACAGTAAAACCTTTATAATCCAAACATACAGTAAAATCTGTATAATCCAAACACCCCTGGCACCAGCCAAAAGTGTTCGGATTAGCAGGTGTTCACATTAATAGGTTTTTTCAACATGTAGGTCAATGAGACATAACAAATTCGGGACCGAAGTGTTCATATTAAGAAGTGTACGGATTAAAGAAGTGTTCAGGTATACAAGTTTCACTGTATTTAAACTTTTAGAATTGAATTTTAATTGCAATATATTAAGAAGTAACCATCATATATTTCAACTTTTTGGTAAAACCCAGCTTGGAATTTGCCCTTTTCAGGAAAGTAAAAAACATTAATATACCGGTAGCTGTAAAAACTGAAACGAGGAAGAATTATTGAGGAAATTGACACATCTGTTGACTTAATATCCAAAAAGGTTTTAATAAGGCACTTATGAAATTGCCGACATTTACTTTGCATAGAAGACAATATATCTCCCTCAAACTCTACTGGGCATAGGATAAAGCCCTATATCTCCCTAAAACTATTGGGCATAGGATAAAGCCATATGCTTATCCGATGAAACTCTAAAATAAGGAAATGTGATGTGTGTTTTCAGAAGTAGGGAGGGTCTTTAGGAGGATATATTTCATCAATAATTTCGAATCTGATGAAACTTAATGAGACTTAATAATGAAAAAGGATGTGTGTTTCAGAAGTAGGGAGGGTCTTAAAGGGTTCCGATAAGCTTCCCATATAAAATGAAAATCTCCCTTTTATAAATGTGTGACGATCTATTCTGTACCAATGTGTGTTTTCAGAAGTTGGGAGCAATGGGAGGGTCTTTAGGAGGATATATTTTATCAATAATTTTGAATCTGATGAAACTTTATGAGACTTAATAAGGAAAAAGGATGTGTGTTGCAGAAGTATGGAGGGTCTTAAAGGGTTCGAATAAGCTTCCCATATAAAATGAAAATCTCCCTTTTATAAATGTGTGACGATCTATACTGTACCAATGTTATATAAAAGTTAGAGGTGTTGACACAACGACCTCGAGCCTTTGAACCCTTGAGTATTATTCATGGATCGAGCCTTTTATACTAAATGGTGAGCAACACCAGAAACGAGCGTTCGATTTGCTAAACGATATGCGTCACCCTTTAAGGAAGAGATATTTCATCAATAATTTTGAATCTGATGAAACTTAATAAGGAAAAAGGATGTGTGTTTTAGAAGTAGGGGGGGGGGGGGTCTTAAGGAGGAGATGCTTCCTCATAATTTATCTTGTTTTGTATTTGGTCATTGTGTCCATATAAGGATTTTCCAAGCTTCTTTAATTAAGTTTTGCTTGAGAGTTTTGCCTCTTGTGTGAGATTCTGAAATCACATTGCTTTGGTAGAAACAAGTTGTTTCATAATTGTACATTAATGTGAACTTTTTCCTACAACAGCTTGTACGCAATAAACTAGGCTCTAATTGATAATTATGATCAACTGCTATGCAATTAGATGATAATGAGGCAGGACAAATGCTTGCAGAATGTAGTTTCACTTATTTATAGCATGTTCGAGGTTGTTCAACTGTCTGACCCTTTGCAAATAAATCGGGTACAGTATTTGTATGTTTAGTATGATTTTGATTAAATGTGACATTCTTATGGTCTGTGCCATGGAATTATTCTATTCCTGAGGTGAGTAACCCAGATAGGGTTATCCCTAGTTATATGGTTATACCTAGTTATATGGTTATACCTAGTTATAGGGTTATACCTAGTTATATGGTTATACCTAGTTATAGGGTTATCCCTAGTTATAGGGTTATACCTAGTTATATGGGCTATACCTTGTTATATGGGTTATACCTTGTTATATGGTTATGCCTACTTATGCATTATGCCTAGTTATAGGGATATGCCTAATTGTTGCTTGTTGCGTATTTAGCAGGGTTGATAATAGTAGACAATATTACCTCTTTGAACACCTCTCAAAGTGAACACTTTTTTCAGTCCTATTTTTTTTTAACCTGGCATTTGTGCCATACACTTCTATGGTTAAAGAACTCAGATGTGAACACCTGCCAATCTGAACACGTTTGGCTTGTCCCAGTGGCTTTCAGACAAGACAGGTCTTATACTGTACATGTACTTATAAGCTACCATTGTATATTGTGAAATAGTTTGGGTTACCAAAGGGAATATTACTGCCATGCTCTAGGCATATGGGTACCTACCAGGTTGGTCAATAAATTCTGCCATAAATATGTTTTTTTTGTTGCTATCTTCATTACCAGTTTACCTTACCAAAATGGTTCTTTGCAACTCTTCATTGTTGGCTTATAGTAAAGAAGAGGGGTTTTGGTCAAAACCTCATGCAAAACTCATCATGCTGATGAAGTCCCTTGGTGTATATACACTATTAGATCAGACATGATATAGAAATAATCTGTGATTAGCTCCAGGATTATTGGCATATAACATCCTCTAGGTGAGTTCCCCATGGCGGATGTGCCAATCTTGGCAGAAAATCTCTAAGATCATACAAGACTAAAGATTTTTGCACTCCTAGAATTTAATTAATCATATTTCTTAGGATTATGAAATGTTAACTTTGGGCATTTTCATTCTTTCATTTCAAGTTATTCGAGGATAAACTATGATACCTGCTTTTTGTTGGTATTCGTGAAGGTTACACTCCCACCCATGGTGGAGCTGCCAAATCACAGTGGACTACATGGAAGATTTATCCATCCCTGTCAACTCCCACAGAGGGTGTCCCGCTTGTATCAGTGGGTTACATGATGATCTATTACTTGCAATGGTTATTGAGAACATTCCCGCTGTTCAGGATGAGTCAATATATGAATGTGATCTTCGTTAATCGAGAAAAAAGGACTTTTTAATTTTATAATTGTTGTTTAATTTCAGTTTTTGGCTACTATACATAAAAAATTGCATCTGGGCATTATGAAGGAAAATTGCAAAGGTGTAGGGAGATAATGGGTTCCCCTTGACTGATCCTTAATTGATATGAAGTTATGAGGAAGACAAACCTTACGAATAGAAAATAATTTAACATTTACCAAGAATACAATCTGATGGATGCTGAAGCAAGAGCCAAAATCCCTGCACACATACATTATGGGCCACTGACCCAGTCACTGTAGAGATGTTTTTGTTGTCCAAACTGCTTGTAGGATTGATTTGAAATTTTCAAGGATGTTTCTTGGTATGAAAATCTAGACCTGATTCATTTTTGGCCATGCTTACTCAAGCCCGTAGCCAGGATCTGCCAAAGGGGGTTAACTTTTAGGAAAATTCCAGGGGAGTCACTTTTAACAATTTTGGTCCAAAAATTGCCAAAATCACTTAAAAAGTGCTCAGAATGGCGAAAAACTGCATGATTTTGAAAGAATTTTTGGCCAGGGAGGGGTTCGCTCAAACCAATCGAACCCCCCCCCCCCCCTGGCTACAGGCCTGTTACTTATCATTATTATTTGAGAGTTATTGGAAATAAATGCAGGAGGGGTAACAGGAAGTTGATCCTGACTTTATATCATAACGCCTCGTGATGTCTTAGCAAATATTATTGGTCACATGGGGGCGACTGTTCGGAAATAACTTTCATCAATTCTTCCTTTCTTAACAAAACAAAAGAACACTGTAGAAATCGCCATGTCGGACTTACCTTGAGGGAGATGAGGAAATAGAGCTTTCCTTAGAAAATGGGCTTTATTGAATGCCCATGTTAGATATAAACATGATGTTTCCTTAATAAGTGACTTCTGGGATTTTTGTGATAGAATTACAGGTGTCCATATTTCCAGTACCCTCACATATGTGTTCACGATTCAAGGTTTCTTAACCGGCACATAGCCAGGATTTGCCAGGGGGGGCTCAATTTTAAAAAATTCCAGGGGGTTTACTTTAGACAACTTTGGCCCCAAGATGGCCAAATTCACTTGAAAGTGTTCAGAATGGTGAAAAACTGCAAGATTTTGAAAGAATTACCTCTGAACTCCCCTGGCTTTGGGCTTGCTTAAGGAGTGTTTGTCCTTGTAAATGCATGAAAGGGTAGTATCATGTTGAGCCATTTCTTGTTATTGTTCGTTAGACTGTATAACTGGTTAAAGTACAGAAATACATTTTTAAGAATATTGTGAAGGGTTTCAGACTAAGACTAAGATTGATGCAATGCTTATGAAAGACCACCCATGAAACAATCATCTTTTACAAATTGTTATTTTCCTCTTGGCAGACAAATAAACATGTAAAATGTAAAAAATCATAAACTGCAATTTTGGAATTTCCTTTTTGTATTGTGTATGATATCACTTTGCGTTCAATGTTTTATCTTTCATTTTCAAAACAGTGCAGGTTGTAAAGTTCATGTATACTAGCATTGTACATGTTTTGTGGTTAAGTTCATAAAGAAGTTTGCATGCAAATGTTACACGCCTGAGGGCCTCTGATATCATGAATAGCAAGGAAGGAATGTTCCTATCTTGTATCAGGAGTGGAGACTGTAGGTACAGGTATTTGAAAATGTCATTTAATTTTACATGTACAAGGAGATTGAACTTGGATTGTGGCATCAGATGATAACAGAAATTGTTTAATGGAAATTCTAATTATTCATTCATTTGGTCATTTCACAGGGAGGTAATCCTACAAAGCGTACACTTGATTCTATTACAGGGGCCCAACTCATCTGTACATACACTTACATCTGTCAAATGTACCCCCTCTTTCAAATGTACCCCCTCTGTCAAATGTACCCCCTCTTTCAAATCTACCCCCTCTGTCAAATGTACCCCCTCTGTCAAATGTACCCCCTCTTTCAAATCTACCCCCTCTGTCAAATGTACCCCCTCTGTCTATTTAATCCTCACATTGGGACCTAACCCCCCTAAAGCATATATTTGATTGAGTTTGTCTTGAGAAAATGGATGAAAAAGTTTTATTTTCAAAGCTGGAATTGCATGCATCCTTGTATGATTTGAACCACAATTTTTGTATGTTATAGAATAAAGGACACGTCTGTTTTCAAACTTCAGTCTTATCTTTGTGATAATATTGGCCTTCATGGCATTTATAAATGGATCTCCTTCATATTTAAATGCATTTCATGTATCCGCATTTTTTATAGATCCTGAAATTGAAAAGGTTTCCTTAAAGTTTTAATTGAATTTGAAGTCTTAACAAATACGTGTTTTATGTCAATTCTGAGAAAAATATAATCAGATGTGTTTTCATTTGGCACAAAATAAACATTAATTTCAATGTTTCATCAAAAAGTTGTTTTAATTTAGATATAAAAAATGCAGTGCCATGGCAACGAGGAAAAATAAATTAAACTACATTTATATCTGAATTTAATTACAGTTCGTAGTACATGTAATAGTTTCATCATAATTTGATTGATATTATTAATGAACATTAGTTTGATTAATGAATGGACGTGCAATTAACAATTTGATATCACCAAGGATTTTGATAACATTTTTATAGTCTACATGTTTTGTAAAATGGTTACTGATAAAATATATAGCTTCAAATCAAGTGTATTGCTTATAAATTAAAACCTGTATATATGAACACCTCTACAAATGAACACATCTGTATATGAACACCTCTTTATATGAACACATCTGTATATGAACACCTCTATATCTGAACACTTCTCAATATGAATACTTTCTATCAGTCCTGATTTTGTAATATTCCACTGACTCCTTTGTTAATGAAACCTCAAAATGTGAACACCTGCTAATCTGAACACCTTTGGCCTGTCCCCTTGGTGTTCAGGTGATACAGGTTTTACTGTATTTAACATTCACTGTCCTTGCAATGACTTATTGTAATACCTGTACATTTATGCTAAACATCACTTGACCATGTTGACCTCTCTAAATGATTAAAAAACAGGAAATCTACCCTTTCAATGGTTTTCCTTCTTTAAAATAGGGTTTCTAAGTTTATAAAGCTCTGACACATAGAATAAGGAAAATCTGGAAATAAGGAAAGTTTTTTGCTCATTCACTTAAAGCATGTCTTAAATGATATAATACCACCTTGTATAGAATCAGGCCACATTGCACAAAATAATACCATATTGCTCATCGTTAAAATTAGTCTATCAGCTTTTTATCACTATATAAACAAGGAATTGATTATCAGAACAAAATTACAGCTGACTCAAAGTTATAGATAAAAGAATACTTCGTTAAATGAATAATTAAGTCTAAATATGGCTAGCTGTTATCAAACGGGATTGTTGGCTCATACTTGATTTACATGTAGTTTTTCCCAATTAACCTATATACTAGTGGCGTCCTTAAAATCACTGTGGTGACAACAATATTTAAATTTAGGGCTTACTTCCTGTCGTTGTTTTTGTACAATATACATAAATGACCAAATTCCCCTTTTCATGTTTTAAACATAAAATATACTTTGGCTATTTTGAAAGTTTTATATGTACTTGTAAAATTTAAGTACATGTAGACATATAATTTATGACAGTTTTAAGTCCAAACCTGTAAAAATGTCATTTTTATGGTCATCTCGTTTTTTAGAACCTTTTAGTTCAAAGCCTCTTCTTGACCTTTTGTGTGGCAGGAATAAATTATCTTACCAAATAGAATTGGCTACGGCTATTGGTGTTATAGATAAGTTTGAACCAAAGCCTAAGAGACTGGGAGAAGAATACAGGTAGAATTTAAATGTATAGTGAGGTTTATCGTGCTGAGTTGTCGTAATTAAGTTGTTAATCAAAGTTATCATCTCGACTCATCTTTCAGTATTTTTGTAAGAACTTCAATGAAAAGTATTGCAATGAGACCTTTTTGTCATTGATTTTCTTCATGATACAGATGGAGATGTTATAGTTAAATAGTATAAATTGTATATGTGGAACACCTTTGGTTCCAATAAAGTGTTCCACTTAAGAGGTGTTCATATTGCATTTAATAATAATATCGTATGTTTCTCTTGCATTGCATGTCCATATGGCATAATATTGTATGTTCATATTGTATTGTATGTTCATATTGCATTGTATGTTTAATAATAAAGTTAATATTAATGAATTGCTTTCTTTCTGTGTCAATTAGTTTATATTTTCTAATATTGCTAGCAGGAATGCTATGTAAACACTCCATTTAAAACCAACCAATAACTTTCTTCAAATGGTTTTACGTTTCTTTGAAGTCAGTATTGTGATGACGTTTATAGTAGATTTATGGTACAATGGTAAATGCTGTCTTGAGTTCACTTTTCTACTGGCCAACCTTCACCGTTGTCCATCTTCATTAGTGGTTATTACGATGCTCTGCTCATGTTCATGAAGTTAAATGGGTTGTTTGCATGCTTTATTCTTAACTGGCGTCACATTTTCCTCTCCAAGTTTTGTTTTAGAACGGCAGAATTTTTACTGGAGTTTGAGTAATTAATTTTTGTATGGGTTTGTGGTACAAATTGAACATGATCGATTATCACATTGCTTTGCTATTTATTATTATATGATTCCTATTGAATGTTAGAAATTTTGGTATTGGAGAAAATACGACTCTGTAAATTCTCAAAAACATCCTTGCCCTTGATGCTATTTAGGATCTTTATTTACAAACATATACATCGCCTCACCCAGTTCATGACAAGTGATAACCCCATTTAAATATTCATGACAAGCAAGTTTGATATTAATGTTAGTATAATGCCAAGAATATTTGAACTTGCATCGATCAACAGATCAGTCTTTAAATAAATCAACATTAAATTGATTTTGCTTGCAACATCATCAAAATTCAATTTTCATATTTGTGAATGCTTAATGAATTTTTTATCAGCAAGTTTTTTATTGATTTCGAGATTGTGCAGAACTAGTGTGTGAACAAGTTTTGTATGTTTAATATCGGTCAGTTTAAGGTTGTTGAAACTCAGTAGTTTTCAATCAACTTTATTTGAACAATCATCGAGAATAAAAGAGCAATTATGGGACATAATCCTGCCTAAGGCCACGCTACCCTGTGGTCATTGTAATTGACAACACTATCCTCTGACTATAGTGGATCATTTAACAGTTTTGAAATAAAATCTTAATGCTCGAATGATTTTCGGACCTTATATTACATCTAGAGTTTGGACTATGAGTTGGCATTATACTCATGTTTAAGGGTTGGTTATAGTCAGTGATCTCCAGGATTTTTCCTCAAGTGGGTGCAAAATTCTCATTTTCACAATTCAGACAAAAATTGGTCAAAATATGCCTATTTTTCTCATTTTCAAGTGGGTCCAAATGGATTTTCAAGTGGGTGTAAATCTATTTTCAAAATCTCGGGTAGGTGCTACTGCTGCTAGTTATATGTTAGATACTAAGTATGAATATTATTGAGTTTTTATAGTTTAATGCCAGGTGCTTATGAAAGCATAAAATTCAGGGAATTTTACTCTGATTGGGTAGCTGAATTTTAACTGTTTTCTGATTGGTTAGGACTAGATCAAAGGACTATCTCAAATGAATGCAGAGTATGGTTGAAGCTTTCTTTTAAAAGGGTAGAAAATGAGTGTCTGACGTGATGAATAATGCGTTGCACAAACGGATTAAACGGGAATAAAATCAAGAAACTTGGACATGATGAGATGAGCATTTAGTCAATCATGACCAAAAAACAAGCTGCTGAAATTGCATCACGATGACAAATGGAAAAGCGCAATTTAAGTGGCAAGAAAGCTTTTAACCCCATGTACGACTTTGTATAACCGAAGCTGATTGAATTATTCTTGCATTAGCTCCATCATTTGCCTGCACAACTTTATCTTTCTCTTACATCCATAGTTTTTAAACCATCTTTTCCTACTTAATCAGATTTCCATGTCATTATTGGAACATTCTTGAGAAATCACCATCAAATCGTGCAATATACCCAACTAATAAGATATTTTATTACATCTGCTTTCGTTACTTTTATTCAAAGAGGCAGAATGTGATTTATATCAAACAAGTATCGATTGTACCTTTTGAATGATGGTCACACGGTGAGTGCAGATTTAAGTGCCTATGTGTGTTCTTGAAATGTCGTGTCTTGCTCTTTCTTGAACATTGTTCAGGTTAAATAGTGTATATTTGTCTGATTTTGTAAAATTGGGTTTGATTTGGGTTTCATATTGTTGGATACAAATGACCTTTTAGTTGGGGTTTTCTTCATTTGACCCTCACTTGACCTATTTGACCTTCACCTGAGTCAGTGACCTTCACATTCATTTTGCAGCCAGGGCGATGACATGGATGATTATACTAATGATCTGGACACTGTGACATCATAACTTAAGAGCATATGATAAGTCTTGCATTGTCTCGTTTCTATGACAATATTAGATATATTTGTTTTTGTTTTTCTCGTGCCTTTTACACTGAGTCTTCTTTTTATTAATTCTTTCAAGAGCAATTCCTTGACATTATAAAGTATTACTGACGGTACATCCTATTGTGTTTCTTTAGTTTAGCATTTGTGTCACATTTTGTCTGGGTCATCTACTCCCAAAGGCTTAGCATGGCATTCTAATAGATAAAGTGAAGACAATATTTCAGAACAAGTAGAAAATAACTGTGGACAAATATTAATCAGACAATATAACAGGATGTGTTTAGATTCCTGTTGAGGTTTAATGGGAGTGTGTTGTTCATCAATTTGGAAATACAGTTCTGTAGATAGTCAACATACATGTACTCCAGATACCTCAATGTGTACCTTTGATTAGGGAAAGGTAAATTAATACTTGGAGATTGTACAGTACAATGTATATATAATCGGAGGAATGTACATATTTGGGATTAGGTGTATCTTTATGACCTGTGATCTCAAACAAATAGCGGTACCTCTGGTCTTAAACACATACAATGTTGTCATTTTACAATCTCTTATCGATACACGTTGTAAATTGTTGAAATTGGGGTGTAATCCTTCAGCGAGACTTTGACCCAAGTTTTGGTTGTGATCCACCTAACTAGTCAAGTGTTTAACTGTCACACCAAGTTGGGAGAGCAGCCTTTTCAGCTTTCTGTATACCAGGTTATTTATTTCCTTATTAAAAGTAGGATTAAAGTTTTCTGTGTGACCTGTCGAGTAGATTCGAAATACGGTACACGCAATATCAAATAAATACAAAATCATTAAACCTGGCAAGTGAATGGAACTAAAGGAACAGTTTTCACAATTATTGAAATAAATCCAAAAGCATTTATTTGAATATCTATTTCAAACCTGTGAAGTTTTCAAATATTGACCGGTGTACTTAGCCAGGGCCAAATATCCACTATAAAACAGTGTGTGCTAAGCGGATACATAAAAGTTGTGAAGAAGTTGACTTTAACACGTCGAGGACAGAGGACAAACCAATAGCCATCCCGCTGATCAACTATACCGTGCTGATTATGCACTGAGATTTGAGTAAAAAAATCAAATATAGATATCGGTTATTCGTTGTTTACATAAAGGATTGCTGACCTGTGTAGGAGACCTTTGTTTACTTGTTGATATCTCGTTAAAGGTGAGTCAGTTAAATCAATGATATCAATTATGTTCGGCTGATTATGCCGGCTCCATGTTGGTACAAATTGTTAGGAAAATTGTCGTAAGCAAATTGTGTCTTGATTAACTATTCAACTCACAAACGTTTATGTTCTAGACTATACTACGTAGCTATAAAGCAAGGGCTGCAACTGTACTAAAAATTATGTCTTTTGAATAAAAATATTTTCTTTGATTTTACCAAATAATATGTATTTCAAAGTTGTAAATAGAATAGATGATCAATTGGAATTTGATTCAACTGGGAAATATTTTTTTCAAAAGCAACATCCAGGATTTTGAAGCCAAAAATTTGAATCTAGTGGCTTATGATTTTGGGAAAATTGCTTTAAGGCACGACCCTTATACTCATAAAAATTTTGATTGAAATCAAATTACAATTTAATATCATTCTTTATTCTTACAACATATTATGAATGCTAAGCAGGGATTTAACTGTTAATCTTTATTATTTTCTTATACCTGTTTTAATACAGAAAAATTGGATTGTCACAAATCCAATTTTTCCAAGTTTTGAGTCCCTTGCATAAGAAGCTTAGCATCAAAAGATGAATTGTATTTATATACGATTTGGAATGTATCTTACTTTTGAAGGTTAACGTGTGATATTTTCTCTGGGGTGACTTTACACTGAGTATTTATTATCAATACGTTTGATGGACATTTCCACATTGATCAAGTAGTTTTGCAACAATGATATATTTCACATTGAATGCCAATTGTCTTCCTTTGTATTTTAACCTTCAAAAATATGCAATTGAATTCCAACGCTGCCACCATTAATAAAATGAGTTCACAAAAATCCAAGGGGGTTCACATTTTTCAATGTTGGCACAAATTCACTTGAAAAATGCTCAGAATGGTTAAAAAGTGCATGGTTTTGGAAGAATTTTTGGGTTTTGGCCAGGGTATCCCCTTACAAGGTTTTTCTGGCTTGTATAAGAGACTCACTCTATAGTTGGTATGTTTTTCAGAAATGGATGGGGTTCTGTATCAGAATATACCTACTTGACCTATAAAACAGAGGTCCCTAGCATATATGAGGGGATATAAAATATTACCTAGTTACACATATGTCCATATCTTTCCCTAAATGAGCAATATAAAAATGTCACATTAAACATTCAATTAATTAATTGCTTTTCATAATTTAATTAACATCAATTATTGCTTTCACACAATAAAAGTTCAGAGAGGCTGGTTTAGTTTGTTAGTGCTAGAAATAAATATTTATAGCAAGTCCATCTGACCCGATTATTTCCATTTCTCACTCATATTCTTTAATTTACCTAATGGCCATCTTGCAATTTCATTTGTGCTTTCAAAGATTTATTCTAAAGGTTTGTCCAGAAAGAGATTTAGCACATTCGCCTCGTCAGGAGGTTTACATCAATAAGTGCATTGCGTTCCACTAAACTTTAGTTCTACTTCACGGGTCAATATTGCGATTGTTTTACATTCCTTTAAATTACAAAGGCGATTTTAGTTGTATTAGTTTTTCCGTTATTGCACATTCAGCTCTGATCCAATCCCATAAACGCTTTATAAGATATCTGCTTGAATCCTTACACATATGTTTTGTCTTAGTAGATCTATATAAAGCGTGGTTTACGTGATGGCAGTATGTCTTCACAAATGTTATTATGCTGAATTGAAGTAACATCTGACAATTGCGCCGCAGGTAGATAGACGTGTTTTCAATATCCATGTGTTTCTGGGTTAGTCAGCTTGGTGGTCTAGTTCTCGTTTAGAATTTTGCATTTTTTGTTGCCAGACGTGCTATTTATAGGAGTTCCTGGGTAGCTTATTTAGGGTTTCTATTTTTGAATGTGGAATGGGGTTTATGGAGGAAATAAATGCATGGTTCTTGTGAAGGATACCTTGAAAATATATAAAAATGTTACAATATCAATATAAAAAAAACATGGAATTCATGAACTGATCTACGCTAGCTGTAGCTATGCTAATGGATGGGTTTTGTGTTGAGACCTATTGAACTAATGTCTGAACTAATATTGACAAGTTATCCCGCAGGAAGTCTTTGACATTATCATCTCAGGACATTTACCTTGTGGGTCTTGTATCTATTGCATTACTTCGTTTATAGTGCTCTGTGTTTTATCCATGGAAATACCTAGCGATTCAATCTGTTCAGTTACTTAGGGCTTAGCCTTGCATGAGACATATTCTCATGGATGACTGGTCGCTTTGCTTGACTGGTCATTCTGCTCGACTGGTCATTCTGTTACGCAGTCTCAAACACCATAAAAGTTGATACTATTCACTCCTTTCTACTTTGAGTAATGCAAATCAGGTTTTCTTATGTTTTTGGATAATTGTAACCCTGTTCCTGGCCTTGGCATTTCATTCCTAACCTTAAATGATTCTTTTTTTTCATTTCTGCCATTTGTTTCGAATTTGTTATTTCCCGTTTTGTGATTTCATGAATAGGTGTTTAATGCATTGTGTATATCAACCTCCTTCATTTCCTGAGTCACTGACATTTTGCCATCAACTTCTAGTTTCATTCATTGAGTCAAGGTAGATTGAATTTGATATTTAATGTACCTTGAATGGTACACTTACCCTTTTTAATACTAAGATTTTGATTCTTGTCACGGATCTCTGACCATTTAGGATCAGGATATGGCATATCCTAATAGATATTAGCTAATCATGATTGAACTCAGCAACGTAAGCCTCAGATCCTCAAATTCTTCCACCAGGGGCACCACATTATGCAA